GTTATCAATGTTAGTCAATTCTAAATTTTCTAGACCTACTAAAGACATTTAGAACATGACAATAATTGGAATTCTAGCAATAAGTGCCAGAGAATAGATACAGCGTGGATCGGAATGATTATTTCGGAAAGTTGAACGGAACCACTCGAGGAAATGTTTACATTTCGAAACGATGAAACATCGCTAGAAAATCGTCGGGAATAAGAATCCAGCCAGAGCGTACGTGATTCCAGTTGCGTGCTCGCCAATTCGGCGACAAGATGTAAGGTCAGTTTCGAGCAGCCAGGGATCGTTTTTCTTCCCGTCGTTCCACTACACTCGGTCAAGAACTCTGCGATCGAGGCTCATTGGGGGCGAAACGGGAGGCGACTAATAAAAATAGTCGAAGTCGTATTAATAGCAAACGAAACGTGCGCGATGGCAAGAACGATCCTGAGTGTTGTTCCCCGTCCGCAAAAAGCGAAGGCGAACACGGATGGATCGAGAATGAACCGGTTGGAAGTCTTCCAGTGGACGAACAAAAATTTGGATGATTCATTTCGAAGAAGCGAATTGATTTTAATGGAACCACTTGGCCTTTGTTACGATGGTGAATTTGTGAATTTAGGTGTTTTAAAACAAAATTTATTCTCATTTTGTAACACTATTGCAAGACTACACTTTACGATATTACATTTACTCGTCTAATATTTTATACGATGCTCATTCATTATCAATTAAAATGGTTGAATTTTGAAACAAAATTTATTCTTATTTTGTAACACTATTGCAAAACTACACTTTACGATATTACATTTACTCGTCTAATATTTTATACGATGTTCGTTCATTATCAATTAAAATGGTTGAATGTTGAAACAAAATTTATTCTCATTTTGTAACACTATTGCAAAACTACACTTTACGATATTACGTTTACTCGTCTAATATTTTATACGAAGCTTGTTCATTATCAATTGAAATGGTCTGACGATTAAGAACAGTCAAGTACTGATGAGTTAGCCTTCGACGACTTATTAATTCACCTTGTACTCACTGTATTAGAGGTATCAATATGTAATCCACTACTTCTTGACGAATTCAAGAGTTCGCTTCTATGGGAGTTAAGAATCTGTATTATTTAATTGTGCTCATAACGATTTTCTAGTATCCTATTCCCCATTTTTCCTGGATGGATAGTCGAGAAGATGGAGTGGATGCAACCAGTAAATGAACACGTACCAGTGAATGAACATTATATAGAAAACCAAGTAAATTAAACTATTAACCCTGTTGTTCTCCTTGTTATTGTTCACGTTTGTATCCGTTTGAATAAAATTATTTCAACGTTTGAAATGATTTGTTTCTAAAGAATGGAAAATACACAAAAAAGTAAACGTGAAATTTAAATACGTTGGATGGTAAAGACAAATATTTAAAAATATAATACCTATCGAAATACAATCTTTATTTCGGGTTGTATAAACCCAGGGAGAACAGTAGGGTTAAAATAAGCAAATGATTAAATATTGATTTTTTTCATATTCAAACGATTGTCGCGTCATTAGTTAGAAATGTTCATTTACTTAATATTGTTTATTCACAAGTGAAATCTGTATTTTCCTTTTAATATAATTAATTAATTACCATTTTCCCAATTTTTAAAATTGAAAACGATACGTTATAAATGGTATAGATATTACAAAACTCAAAGATTATTATATTGTACGCTTTATAATCAGTAAAAACTACCATCTGAAAATTCAGTCTTCCCGTCCACCATCAATTTTCTACTACTCACAGATTGTTTCTTGAGAGAACTTATCGAGTTCGATGCGTGACACTTCAGTTTTGCTAAATCACTATACACGTGGGCATAAGTTCAGTAACGCTGTCGTCACGGAGACGTCACCACTTATGTGTCACAAGTATTACAGGCGAATCGACGTAACGCTAACAGATATCGTCCGATAAGATTGATAAGATCAGCGTAATACCTGTGCACTGTGTCAAGGAACTCGATGTTCCTCAGTTACGGGTCTCGATATTAAATTCCATCGAGGAAGAATAGGTACTCACGCGGATGTTTCTCTGAAAGTATTCATCACGAGTGCAACCAAGCGAGATTGATCGAGTTGGGAAGAGGAAAACCGAACGATTCATTTCCACGATCGTTTCTCGCGCAAATGCTCCTCGTCACATTCGTCGAGACATTACTGTACAACTATTTATAATTATTATTGTAAATAGGTATCAATAATAAAGAGAGTTTAAAAGAAATACATATTATAATAATGAAATGTACATGCATGTGGCCTGTATGTATATAAATGAATTTGATGTATGTTTATTCCATCATTTCTCCATTATAGTGACTTCGTAAGGATGACAGAAAAATAAAAGATCTATATCACGTTGATCCTGTCTTTTATTTTCCAAATTTTGTGTCATTTTCATGATATTCCCGTGAAATTGTTTCGAAAGTAACGCGAAATTCAATAAGGCTTGTGATTTTGTCTATTAAATTCGTGGGCATTTTGAAAGAAATTCAAATAAAGATAGAATATTAGAGAAACACAAGCTGTTAGTCCGGCACAATGAATGGAAATATTATTTGCTCGATAGTAGCAATGTGCAGATTGCCTTCCCCTGATAAAACTGTGACAACTCAACGCGTGTGTCCGGTTGGTTATCATTCTTCAGGATGTCAGCAAGAAGAATATTCCTTTCACAATCTCTGAAGTTCTTAACTATTTAGCAAAGTGAATTCTTAGTTTTAAACGCAATTAATCAAAAGAAACGAAAAATCATGATATAATAATTGCTAAAATATAAAGCTTTAAAAATTAATGTTTAAGATATAATTATTTAAAGTTCATATAACGTTTCGATTAGATTCGAGCACGTACTTCATGGTACATAGCGACGTATTATACTATATTATCAGTTTTTGTCCGAGTGTTCATTTTTTTGTTGTTGTAAAACGTGTCTACAGTATTAATACTGTACACGTGTCGTAAAATATTTTTTATTTGAAGCAATATGTTTACGTTGAATACACATTTTCATGAATCCATTATGACGCGTACATGACGTAAACGTTGGCCTTCAAATTGCAGTAGTTTTTGATATCTTTATGAATAAACTTTTATCTTTATTACGCCAGCTTTTCTCAAAATCAATACTATAGTATTGATATATACTACAAAGATTTCCTATTTCGATTATGCGTGAAAAATATCACTCGCTGGTTCAACTTGGAATCATGTTACAGTATAACTAATTTATAGACAAGCATTGACTATAATACAACTTTCATATACAATAATGACGACCCATAGAATGATGCATTATACGTTAAAATACTATCGTTATAATTAGATTGCACATTATATGCATTTATAATAACAACACAATATGCAGAACAGCATAAACAATCAAATTTTATTGAAGTTCTGTAAAGAAATTTGTAATCGATTTCTACTTTTATTCTGAATTAGTATATGAAAATACGAATTTCCATACATATTTGTGGTTTAGTGTGATATAGTACCGAAATTCTAGTTGGTCTTTTGATTTCTATGGTTCTTCCTCCATCCTTGTAAGTAGCCATTTTGGTAGCATTTGAAAATGGTTCTGAAAGCAGTGAAATCACAAAAATATCGTGATATTTGGGACCCCACTGTTCATTTCAAAGAAATTCTGTTCCACTATGACGTATATTATAACTTTTGCACCATTATGTTTTACAACTTATGCATATTATAAATGCATAAAATCTATAATCCAGTAATCACCTATCGTGAAATTAGTAAATTATCACCTTCAATACTTCCATCCTTTTTTTGACGATATTTCCTTTTCAACGAATAATTATTTCTTAACTATACTTTAATTATTTCTACCATAAACAATTATTTAAAACACCGTACAGTAAAATAGAACTACAATAGATTCTTCATTATCGAGAAATGCTGTAGCATTTTCACTATTACGTCTACGTTTGACAACTCTGTCCATTCGACGGTAAATTTAATGCATCTCTAACATACACGTTTATCTAGAGCACAGTACAAGAATTAAAAAACAAGATTAAATTCCAACCTGGATTCGAGGTCAATAGAATCTGTAACATTGTAAGTAAGTTTTTGCACACTATTTCTGCACACTAGGTCCGTAAACATCGATATTTACGAATCCTAAAATACCGTCGAATTTGAACTTTCGTTCCACAAATCATTCTCTTCCCTAGTAGCAATTACTGTTGGCATTTTGATGGGCCTTTGATGCACTATTGATTGGCCAACCAATTTCTGACTCTATTTTCACAAAATGTCAAATATCAAACGTGTTGCGCGACAGTAACAAATTGTAAGTATATTAATAAATAAGAAAACAAAAAAATCAATTTAAAATATAACAACAAGTTTTTGGTGGTAGCAATGTTTCTGACGTGACGATATTTAAATGTTGGCAAACTTTGAGTGGGTCAATATTGTATTATAATTGTAACTTTCTTGTTAATTAACCAACTGTAATAATTGTAGGCCCAACATTGGATATTCGTTGGCAAATTGTCATAACTTTTTCGTCGTAGGCCCTATTTTGGAAATTTGTAGGCAAAAACACTAACTATATCCCAACTAACTCCCAACTGTTAGATACCGTTGGCCAACCATAAATACTACTAGGGTTCTCGCCGTCGAAACCTCATAACAAAGCATAAACATATGTATGAAAAAAGTCTCTCCAATGTGTGTCCAAAGAAAAAAGAAGACAAAAAATAAACAGAAAGTCTTCCGTGTCTTTAGAGGAGCGGAGGTGCGAAACTGGCGAGTCTGTTGGACAGGGTCACCTGTAACATCAATGCCAGATGGACGACTGATTTGCATTGTACAAAGTACACGTTTCCGATAATGATTCGTTTTATGGATTAGTAGTAGGGGACGATTAGTGGTAGCCGGCCAGGTAAGTATATTTAGGGGAGACCGACACTGGCCCTGAACCCAGTTGTACAAGAACGGTGTTACGGAGTCGAGCTTCGCGAAATCCACCGTTCGCCAAAGTCGCTGCTGGCTCTTTCCTTTGGACAGTGTGCGCGACCAGTGACCGGTAAGCAAAGACACCATCGACTTTCTCGTTTCGAGCACAAGTGGTCCAGAAACAGAATTCAGCAGCTCGAGCAATTCAAAATTTTCATACTTATAATTTGTATTCATGATCGTAGTTAGATAAATAAGCGAAAAGTTTTATACACTTTAGGGATCCTCTTTGACAACGTGAGCATTCACTGACAGTGTTCTCGACATCTTCATGAAAGTGTGATTTTTTTAGGGTATCTTTTTACTGAGATTGATGGTACGAAAGAAGAAAAATAATGGATGAAATCTTGCATGGTTAGTAATAAGTTGTAGAAATCTGTTTTTGACCCTTTTGAATGTTGCTAAATTTTCATTCTGGACCATTCACCGATCGTTTCACATAGCGGTTCACACGAAAAGTAGAATCAACGGAATGTCTGTTTAACTTAAAGAGTTAATTTATCCCCACATTTCCGTTTTTGCATTCAATTCAAGCACTTACATCCTACTTACATTGTCATATTTTATATCGAACTATTTTCGTGATATAAGTATACGAAAGTGGTCAGGGCTCTTTTTGCTATCGTTAAGGTACATCTTCACTGCGTGTAGTGATGGTACATTGTAACTTCAAATATCCAACACTTTCTGTTGAATTGCGTCTGAGAATGTCGTTAATTTTACTTCAGCAATTCAACACGCGTTTTTTTTTTCTAAGTGTCGAAGTACAGTTTTATGGTGCAAGTGATTGTAAAAGCTTCCAAGTATTACTTTACGGCTGGTTACGTATAAAATCACTGGTAAAAAGTGAATCTTCGATTGGCAAAACAACATGTAGAACGCAAACAGGTCCCGTGAAAGCAACGGGAAGGAAATGCGACCGAAGGAAGAAAAAGAGATTGCACGGAAATTACTACATAATCCAGCATACGTCCTTTCTTCGGGAAACGCGGAAGAACTTTCTTCGGTGCAGCGTTCACGCAATACATAGCCTGCGTTTTCCCTTGACCCGACGTCGCTGGTCGATAGCACCGGAAAACCGTTTTTCGAACCGAAGACGAAGTGGAAATTCGACAAACTGGTCCAAGACTTGAACCGAATAGTCCGCTACTTGATATATAACATGATCACTCTAGAAGATTACATTTCCAGATAATGAAAGAAATCACAGTAAAATAGAGAAGCATTTACTATAATTCTGTAAAGGAATTGATTTAGATAAATGATGTCAACCTTTAAGATTATTCACCTATTTAGAAAGAAAGCATAGAATTCATCACTGTTATTATCGTATAATTACTATATATCTTCAATAAATTTTTTTTTCAGAATCATATTTAGCTTATAAAGATCTATCAGAAACGTATATTGAACCACTGCTAAACACACTCAATATGACTTCTTTGGCTGATCGCAAAGTTGTCAAGAATCTCTCTTTTTTGTTCAAGCTTATAGATAGTCAGTTCGCATGTCCTCAATTGTTACAGCTTATACATTTTTTTGCTCCCTCAAGGTGTGTTAAAAAGAGTCATATACTTTATTATGCTACGGTGAAAACTAAATATGGTTCAAGTGATTCAATTAATCGAATGCTGATATCAGTCAAGAAATTTATGGATAAGATTGACTTTTTCAGTGACTCTATTGATTACTTTAAGGAATCCTTACATAGGGCACTAAGAACTGTTTAATTTAAGTTAATGATTAATTAAAAATTCTCTATTACGATTAATTCCTTAGTGTACAATATGTTGCTGTAACTATTTCTAATTTTACTTTCATTTAATTGTTATGTATGCATACTGTGTTTAAACCCGTATAATAACTAAATAATTAAATAACTAAATAAATAAACAAATATTGAAAGTTACAACATTTTTAACGTCTTTAACATTATAATCGAATTGTTGGTAAATATGTGCGAATTTAGAATTTTTGAGACTTTTTTTAACAAGGACACGGAAATACATATTTATGTTTACAGTTGAGAATGTTTCGCCTGGTTCGAAATAACGGGAAAAAGTTAATTGAAGCTATTTCATTTCCTAATATTTCGTTTGAATTAATTCTATAAACAGGTTTTTTCACTCACGTACATAACTGCTTCAAAAGTATAAAATTAGTGTCCAGAAAAGACAAATTATGCTGTTTGTTAAACGGTACAGGAAGCGTTAAGAATTCATCAAAAGAATGTTGCCTGTTGCGTAAGCCGAAAGTAATTGCATCCTCTATTTTTTCGTCAGACGTATGATGAATTTATCGTGTCTCAACGGGAAATTCGTTCCTGTGACGCTGCGCGCGAATACTTAAAAGCTTACTGCAATTTGCATTCAATTAAGGGCAGCGAATTTCGTTAAGATTAATCTCTAACGTCTCCTGAAGAGCATCTTTTCAGCAAAGAAGAGCAAACAGAACAGTAATTAAATCTGTGGAACAGGTGGTTCCAGCGTCTTCAATTGTGAATTCCTATTTTAAATGGTACACGCCTCCGGTGATTATGTTCCCTTGGAGTTATTCCAAATACGAATAAATGCTTGGTATATACAGCAAGCATTTTCTTAATTGGTCTATTTCGAGTTTTCTAATTAGATCAATTACGATTGTATCTTTGATCGTGTATCATAAAACGTTACATTTCATATTCACATTCGTTTTCACGTCCGACTTTTTATTGATTCGGTAAGGAAATTCTTCCAAGCAGAAGAAAAAATAAAATGCAATTAACAAATAGACATTTTATCGATTACTTCTTGTATCTCTATTTCTCAAATATGGAAGATAAAAAACATTTACATTTGTGTGACGCCAAGCTTTTCGAAATGTGATACACAGTAGAAGAGTACTATGAAATTTATTAGATAGTTCGAATGATAATTTCAAGAAAGTACTTATATTCTGTAACATTTAGTATTGTTACACACCTCATGCAAATTGGCGATGAATTCAACCCCTAACTCGTGATTCTTTATAAGTGGCACCATCTAGTCGCAGAATCCTTCACTAAATCGAATTAAGATTTACAACTGCATCGAATCGATTTTACACGAAAAAGTAAATCGAAAACGTAGAATAAAATTTTTTCATAGTCTCGAATTCAGTACAACAAAAGACGTAACAACGTGTTTAACCTGCTGAAACTCCTAACAAGATACAAAAAATTTCTGTTCAATTCCAATATCGGTAAATTGAAGCTAGAAAACTTTACATTTGTATAAACAATGTAAAATTTTATTAGCTTCAAACGCAATCTACAACGTTCACTCGTAAATCATGTTAATCCGATCCCTACGTTGAAAACGCAACCCTTACGAGTGTCGGCATCTACCGGTTGTCAGTCGCGTAGAACCCACCTAAGAACGTCAAAGCCAGTGTCGTACTTTCTGTCACCAAGGGAACTTCTCTGGTGGATGACGTTTATAGAAATCTATTACGCGTGTAATTTCAAAACAAAACAAATATGAAATATTGAGAAAAAAAGGATGTCACGTATCGCGTGAGAGAGAAGAGTGACGGGAAGGTGTACGAGTGAAAGTAACAGTTCGAGGGCGATGTTTCGGGGTACGCAACCCTGGATTTACGAATTCCGAAGGTTACGTGCCTCACGAAAATCCGCGCGTGTGGATCGAACCGGCGATCGATCGGCCGTTCCCGTCGGTTTCGTAAGATCAAGGAAAACTGTGACCTCGCGAGGAAACGAATTCCATCACCGTGTCAGATTCGGTGAGTTCTCCGTAGACTATCTTATTTTTCGTCATTTTACGCATTCTATACCCGATAACTGATAGAAAATTGTACTTCCGATTAACCCTTTAACGCCCAGACCCTTAAATCATTATTTCATAATTACGAGACTGATATATGTGTTGTATCTTCTTATCTTGAAGACGAACATATCGATATAAAACAGACCTATATTTTTCATTGTTTCTTTTTTTATTTATTTTCGGAGGGAATACTTGAATCTCTCAACTGAAAACGTGGAGTTTCAGTCTTCAACATTGTAATCGACTTGTTTGTCTTTAAAACTTATCTGTCTTATAAACTTCAAAGACCGTATTGCGTTTAATTGGAGAACTCCCACAATGCTAAAGAATTATCGCAACGCATTCCAGGGGATGTAAAAAAAAAATATATATATACATACATACATACATAATCTTTTAATATAATATATTTGAGAAAATATATATAAATAGATAATCTTTTTCGTGAATTAAAGAAACATTGTCTCGATTATTTTCCACATTTCTCTTTTACTCGAAACGAAAGGTACACCGACGTGTAGTCGAAATACATACGTTTTAATAAAAAATGATCATTTGTATACACACAAATGTTCAAAGTTCAAAATATCTACATAGAATTCGACCATATTTTATCGAGTTTATGAACATGCTGCTGGTTCAGCAATGAAACAAAAGTGAAATGGAGCAAGTCTCTTTTTCCTTTCCTATTTATGTTCCTGTTTCTATTCCTTGTATCTTTTTTCCCGCTTTCTCCTCGTGTGCCGAGGTATCATTGTGCCAAGTGGATTACTGGTTATCAGCCCCCAATGACAGTGTCAAATACGTGCACTTGAGACTTGAGCGCGGTTAGAAAGGATCAAACGCCAACCTCGCTTACGTAAAGTTTTGTTTACGAAGGTGGCGGAGAGAGAAAGTGATTCGCCACGTATACAGGGTGTTCCCGAGATGGTGGTGCAACCCGAAAAAATATGATTATACATGCAAAAATAAGTCGAAAATGTGGAATAACATGTTTTCGTACGATGTTTCCTTACCATGGTAATCAAGTTTTCCAGCGACAATAAGTAAAAACAGAATTCAATGAACAGACACGCGTTAGCCAAGTCGAGTTTTCTCAAAATCGAAGCATCGTGTGTAAAAATCCTGTTCTATACTTTCAACTTATTTTTCCATGTAGAATCGATAGTTTCGGGTTCTAATACAATTTCGGAAACACCATCTGCACATGGATCACTGTTCTTCCTACCCTTACATTCATATAGAATCGGTCGAGATGCACTTTATT